GGTCTAGTATATCTGCAATTTCGTATCAATTGTACAGAGAACTTTTCTTTAAGTTTGCGCTTATCGAAACCGATAAGTCATTGTATTTTTATAATGGTGTCAAAATACGACCATTAGGATATCTTAAGTTAAAAATTACCTACAAAAATAAGGTTAATTATTTAAACTTTTTTGTTATTGAAGATGGTAGCTGTCCTATTTTAGGCAGAGATTTTTTGTATTCTTATAATTTAAATATTTGCGATAAGAATGCGAGCGTAAATTTTGTTAATGCAGATTTGGAACAAATAATTTCCAAATATTCTAACGTTTTTGCACCAGGTCTTGGTAAATTTAATAAAGGGGTGTTTACGTTGCAATTAAAAGAGACCACTGTAACACCAAAGTTTCACAAACCTAGACCACTGCCATATGCGTTAAGAGATAAGGTAGAAAAGGAATTAGATAACTTAGAAAAGTTAGGTGTGATATCGTCTGTAGATTATAGTGAATGGGCTGCACCCATTGTGTGTGTGTTAAAAAAAGACGGTAATGTACGTATTTGTGGAGACTTTAAAGTTACCTGCAATCCATATTTGATAGCGGATTTTCCTTGTATTCCACGAATCGAAGATTTGTTTAGTACGTTACAAGGTGGAGAATTTTTCTCTAAATTAGATTTATCACAGGCATACCAGCAAGTGGAATTAGACGTAGCTTCTAAACAATATGTTACTATATCTACTCATAAGGGTCTTTATAGATATAATAGGCTTCCATATGGAATAGTTTGCGCACCAGCAAAATTTCAAAAATTAATTAATAGCATTTTACAAGGGCTACCTGGAGTCATAGCATTTTTAGATGACATCCTCATTACGGGGGGAAATGAAAATGAGCATTTGAATCGATTAAAATCAGTCTTACCTAAGTAAATTACAAGATTGTGGTTTAAAATTAAGTCGTAATAAATGCTGTTTTTCTCAAAAATCAGTTCAATATTTAGGATTCGTAATTGATAAGGATGGTTTACATCCTACTGAAGATAAAATCCTAGCAATTAAGAATGCACCAATTCCAACTAATGTAACGCAGCTAAAATCTTTTTTGGGACTTGTAAATTTTTATGGTAAATTTTTTCCTAATTTAGCAACGCTGTTATAACCTTTATATTGTTTACTTAAAAAAAACTGTAACTGGAGTTGCACTTCAGATTGTCAAAGGTCATTCAAAAAAGTAAAACTTATTTTGTTGTCTGCTGATGTGTTGGTTCACTTCAATCTAGAATTGAAAATTAATTTGTCTGTGGATGGATGCATCACAATACGGTATAGGTGCAATCCTTTCTCACACATTTGAGAATGGAAGTGAAAAACCTATTGCCTATGCATCCCGTTCCTTGAATGAAGCAGAGAAAAAAATATAGTCACATAGAAAAGGAAGGTTTAGCGATAATTTTGGGGCTTCAAAAATTTCATCAATATCTTTATGCTAAAAGATTTACTTTGATCACTGATCATAAACCTTTAATTTCTATTTTCAATCCGAAGAAAGGTATACCTCAATTCTGTGCAAATCGTTTAAAACGAAGGGCAGTAATAATATTAGCGAATTATAATTATGAGATCGAATTTGTTCGTTCTGAACATAATATGGCGGATAGTTTATCTCGATTACCTTCTCCGTCACAAGCAACTGAGGAATCTGACGTTGATTATTGTAATTTTTTTGAAACTAACAATCATTTTCCTATCGGTTTTAAGTTAGTTAAAGATAAAACTCAACAAGATGAAACTTTAACAGAAATTATAAAACGGGTTAGGTATGGTTGGCCTGAAAATGTTAGTTTGAAACATGATAATAGTGATCTTAAGTGCTACTTCATTCGTAGAAACGAATTGACCATTGAAGATGATTGCCTATTGTGGAAAGATAGATTAGTTATTCCCACGGAATTAAGGAGCATTCTCTTAAATCAATTACATTTAACCCATATGGGTGTAGTAAAAATGAAAAGTATGGCTAGATCGTATTTTTGGTGGCCAAATATTGATAAGGACATAGAGAATACTGCTAAATTTTGTCAATCCTGTATATTACATAAAAAGTCACCTTCAAAAGGAAAATTATCTCCATGGAACTGGTCAAATTCTCCTTGGGAGAGACTACATGTTGACTTTATGGGACCATTTCTTGGCAAACACTTTTTCATAATGCTAGACGCTCATAGTAAGTGGATCGAAGTCTTTCCAATGACTACAATTACCAGTAGTTCCACAATTCAGGTATTGCGTACCACGTTTGCAAGATATGGCCTTCCTAAACTGTTAGTTTCAGACAACGGTACCCAATTTGGATCTCTCGAATTTAAACAATTTTTCAGTAAAAATGGAATCAAATTTATGACCTCACCTCCATATTCCCCTCATTGTAATGGAGCCGCAGAAAATGCGGTAAAGACTATTAAGAATGCACTTAAAAATGCACTAGGTAAAAACACCAAACTTGATTTAAATATAATTTTAAGTAATTTCTTGTTTGACTATAGAAACACTAACCATTGTACAACAGGAGTATCCCCCGCATATTTAATGTTAGGTGGGAATTTAAGAAATAGATAAGTGCAGTGCGTTATGAACCGGGCGAAGAAGTGTTGGTGAAAGATTATCGTGCACCCAATAAACCAGTGTGGGTTCAGGGATTAGTTTTAAAGCGCCGTAGTAATTGTACTTATATAGTTAGAGTTCCTGAAATTGATAAAATTTGGAAACGTCATTGTAATCAGCTGCTGAAATTTAAACCAGTTTGTACTCAGCCATCAATTCCTATGTCAAATTCAGAGACTTCATCTATAACCACCCAGGTACCACATGATGTAATTAGTGATAGTGATATTGACAATGCACCATTAGCATTAAGTAGGGAGAGAAGACAGATCAAAACACCGGATAGGTTTATGTCATAAATTTAAGGTGGACATATGTAATGTATTGGGTTTTTCCCAAAATTGATATTCGACTTCGCCGTACAATTCAGTATGGAATAAACGCTGTGTAAAGTAACATGTTTGTTTCCTTCTCCGGCCCCGTGCAAATACAACAGTAACTGTAACTGTGTACAAACTTGCCATTTATTTGGTGTAGTATTAACGTGGGAGTGGGATTTTTGCTACACGAATGATATTTTTTGTAAATTTTGAAAAGGTTTACATTTGATCCCATGAGCTAACTTTTAAAAACTGTCATCATTATAATACGATTTTAGAAACCGGTCCATCGAACACAACACAACATACTGTTTTAAAAATTATTTAACGTTATTTGATTTGGAATTGATCACATGCAAGGTGGCAATACTTTTTCTAATCTAATAATTGATATTACACACAGAAGTGAAATATGGGACATTTTCTTACGATATCACCTTTAACTCGCGAATAAACCCAAATGTTTTCCTTTTCTTAGTAAAAGCTACTGTCACAAACCATTTTAACAACATTGTTATCGGGCAGACACATCTATAAAAAGAAAGAAGTCGGTTTCGAGCCAGCCATAATGGAGACATTATTATATTTGAGTTCGAACACGAATGACCTTGTCAAGATGGTCACATGTTTGCGCTAGACAGCTTTAATATTCTCCCTTTAACGATATTTTCACAGTCTTATTGATTGCTGGCGTGTAGCATCAGTGTTTGAAGGCTTCTAACTAATTCCGTAATCAAATTTGAAACCGCCCCAACAAAGAATGTAAATGGAGCCACTTAATTCCAAAATTGAGTTATTTCATAATGCTTATCGCAACCTCCCTTTAACAACTAAGGAAAAGAGAACGTGCAGTGTCAATCTTAATAAAATTATTGTCATCGCCTGAACCTGACGCCCTTAAGGAAGCCCTCAATATTTCACGTTTCTAAAAATTTAGTACTTCAATGTACTTAATTGGGCGACACGATGTCCATAATGGAGAATCGATAATAGAAAATATAAGTTTACGATGGAGTATGAAATTTGGTGTAGCAGCTCCCTATGTGGGCCATTATCAAAAGGGGTAGCTACAAATTATTCAAATTCTATTGACCCTACACATTTGATAATGTCAAATGGAGTTGAGAACTTACTTCGGGCAGTTACTGTTACATAATAGCTCCTGTCGCAATCCGCATTAATTATGAACACATTTTCAATGTCGACCGTAGACTATTGAACGGTCTCGGCTGTCGTAAGCAGTGGGTATTGACTAAATACGAATAATACAAATCTATACGGCCAGGCTATGATTCATAATTTTAAATTATTTATACGCGTTATGGAAGTTTTATTCCCAATTTCCGCATGTGTTCAACTTTACTTTTAAGTAACAGCGAAATTACATTGTGGCTTATAAAAATATGTACACAATCGATTTTATACAATTTCTTTCTTCCTACTTATCCAACCTTATTTAGGGTTCGGACGTTTCCTACACACTTGTCACTAATTGAAAAATGCACAGATGTCACCAAAATTTGTTGCTCGTTTCTTGGACCGTTTTAGATTCTGTTAATCACTCACGTGTAATAATGCAAACGTTGAAAAAAAGCTTTTCGCCGAATCGGTGACAAGATCAACTCGTGAAATATATATATTTGGATATGAAATCTTAGGAACTTATGATCCCAAATTGAAAATGACCAGCTTGGCCCTCAAGCCCCTTTATTTCTCTAGAATTCTAGTGGTATCATTATTTAATATTCAGCTCTGTGCGAATCTAAATACACTTATACGAAAATAACGTGATGAATTGTCATTCACGTAAAAGGTAGGTAAATAGGCTTACCTCACCGTAGCCGTAGCCATTTTGCTAACATTCGCTTTATTAACCTTATAAATATTCTACACTGGTGCAATCGATATCCCATTTTCTGAAATAATACGGAACAAACGCTATTTTTAGTAAAACGTGTCAGTTCAGATTATTTATCGCTCATCCCATCTAGAATCGGTTTTTCATGTTTCAATTAAACTTATCTGATAGATACCGTTCTATTTGGATACATTTGTTTCCAAGCAAATTAACAGTGGACAAAGTTGAGTTGGAACATGAAAAACATACATCCGCATTTCACTTACATCAATAAATTATATATAAGCCATGTTTTATTAGATTATCGTAGGTGATAGGTAAATTTAGAATTTGGACAATGTTATGATTTGGTAAAAGATCAAAGTCCACGACGTTTGTCTTGGTTGGCTTCGAAGAAGAATTTCAGCCAAATTATGTACAAAATGCTTCAAGCCCTGTTTTCCACAAACAACATAGCACTCCCTGTCGATCCACTAAGAGTCTTCGCAACCTTCTCAGTAGCAGACGCCACAGTATCCTGAACCGGCTGTTGAGAGTGGCTCTCCACTTTCAAATTTTTCGAAGCGACACAATTTCGAGAGCACGAAATCGACCCGCACCAGTCCAAGTTGACCGGACCAGAAAAACGGGTTCTTAACTTTTTTACGGAATCAAATATGGGCGTGTGTGATCCACTTGTACCTGTATTCGTGGTAGAGGTTTTCGAAGTTTCTACGTTTGTGTTTCTCTCGCATAGATTAAAAGATTTTTTGGCACAGATACCGTTAGCATCGTCATCCGAAGATTTCGATACATTTTGTTGATCAGCGGCATCTTTTAGGGCGCCAACTGGTCTCAACACGTCGGCGCTGAGTGCTTTAGGCACCGCACGTAGAAGATTGTTGTAGTACTTATCATTGAGCTTCATTTGCTGTTCAATCTCGACTCTCTGCTTCCTATAGCTATCAATTTTAGCTTGAATCTTTGCGAACTCGTCCTCGGAATTCTTAATCTCTTCCTTCAAATGTACGTAGTACTTTTTCACTTTCGCTTGAGTGTTGACCAACTTTTCCAAACTCTCCGTCCTTGCGGAAGCCTTCAATTCTCCTGCCTTTCTTATGAGTTTCCGTTCTAAAACTCCTAGATGTGTTTCCAGTTCCTTACTGTAAATAATTTCCGTTCTATCGTCAAACCCAATCTTTAATCTGCTGAAGGATTTACAGGAGAAATGCAAAAACGCGGTCACTCCGGCTGCTGTTGTAAAAACCAACGATATAACAAATAGGATCATTTCGTAGTTTGATAGTAACAAAAAATTTGGGATATACTTCGACAGCATGGTTAACAAAAATGAATGAACTATACTTTTGACATAAATTTGAAGGTTAATTAAGAACAGGCGTCAGTGTGACACTTAGAAAGTGGAGTGTTGGCGTACCTACTTGATATTAAGTGTAGTGTATTACGAGCAGTGCAATTTGGTTTTAACTAATTTAACAGGATACGAAGATTTCTCTTTGTATATCTGAACTTCGCCTTGTGATTCTTCTGCCTTTTTTGTTTTCGAATTTGTTTTTTCCATGTTATTACGTTTAGGAGAAGAATAAAGATTATTATTATTATTATTAAATGTTGTCATGTCTTGTGGACGTTATTTAAGTCTAAACACCGAAAACAATGGCGGGACACCCTGTATATGACAGTATTTCAATTTAGTAAAGTAAATCGAGGGGGTTATCTACGAATAAGCACATAATTGTTTTATTTCATTTGAATTTGTATTCCGTAGTTGTTTTTTACTTTAGAATTGTTGGTAATATTGTAATTCATTCAATTTAGTTTTCCTGCCGCTCTGCATTCACATTGGGCATGTCTAATAACTCCTGTCATCAATGAAACATTGATATTAATGTATCAAAAGTTCTATATGACAATTGAAATTTTACAATAAAAAAGACTATTTGGAGAAAAATATATTACGAAAATTATTAGCAAATGACACTATTTGACTTGGAAATTAAAGTACTCGGTCTCGTACTTCAATTTTTCCTTACCAGTAATGTGTCACTTTCCTGACTCTTATGCAAATAACTATTATATATTTCTATTAATTTAAATAAAATGACGAAAACATTTCTGTAATTTAGGAATTAAAAAAACTCAAAAACAAACAAACGCACATAAAACTCTTTTCATCAAAGCTATAAATTGATGTGCTCAAATATTGCTTGAGGCAACAATCACTATAATTTGCAACAAATTGCAAATTTATTAGTTTTAAAACTTGCGTGCATTACCGATTGCATTTTCATAACCATCTACAATGATAAATCGATAGAGTAATTTACTAATAGCGATATTTAATAATCCCGTACACGATTTGAACGAGACTTTAAATCTGAAATTCCAAACATAGTTTATAGGTTTATACTTTAGGCGTTTTACTCATTATTTGTTGGTGTAGGACAAACAGAAACTTTTGGTGTAAGGCAGTCTTCATTGTGTACCTACACGCATATTTCTAATTATGAAATAAATTAAGCCAGACGGGTCAAGTCGGTCAAAACTACTAGAAAGTTTGACCTAGACTTCGTTATAATTTATTTCGTGTAAAGTTTTTTATTACAACATTATGCCAACATAACAAGTTCAAGATTAACCGCCAAACAAGTTAATGGTTTAAAGTTTTCACCTAATTTCCTAGCGGTTTGATATGCGAAAATTCATTTAAAAAGGGTGCAAGCTAACAACAATTTACCGATTATCGCCTAAGTTTATTTTTGTAATTAGTCAGATTAGTGTTATCGTTATTCAATGGAAGCACCAACCGCATAATAGAGTCATGGAATAAAATCTGCATAATTTTATTTAGAAATATGCGCGAACTTGAAACAATAAGCTACATATACATACATAATATGCAAATGGATGTAAATATAATTTTTATTTGCAGGTGCCCTTTAAATGGATTATGTGTTAAGTGGAGTGTAGTAATATACCCCTAACCGCAATAATTTTTGATGGCGTTATATTTTATTCAAAATGCAATAAAGGGAAACTTGCCTCATATAAGAAATTTGTTTTTATGGGTCGACATCAATAATTATTTTATTTATATTAGGATTAACATGCATGGCGAATATGGGTTTGTCACGCAAGTTTTAAAATCAAAACCGCATTAATAAATTGGAAGGCAAAATGAGCACACAATCAAAATGAGCAATACTAATGGTTTGTTAATTACAAAATGTAGTAAAGTGGTCGTGTCGTTGCATTCGAGTTTGATCATTGCTTTTATGCAATGCGCACAGCGATTTCAGTTATTGAAGTAATTTTTGCATTGTCAGGTAATTTGTCACGTTATGGGAATATATTATTGCAGATCAAAGTTAGTTATAATTAAAGCTGGTTAGTTCGCAAAATAAATATGCACATAAATTCAAAATTGAAATAATCAACATTCCTGAGCATATTTATTTATACTAGGAATCAAACAGTTTTTAATTGTATGCAACTCAATTTGTTGTCATTTGTTTATTATTTTCCTTACGATCGATTATTATATTCCCTTGACAGAAATATATGTAGTATATATCTACCACATAGTTTCTGATTTGTTAATGACCATAGGAGATACTTAAAAATTAAAATGAAATATAAATTCCAAAAATTAAAATTAAATTAAAAATAAATTGTTAGCACGAAATTGTTGGAGTGCAAATATTATGTGCAATTTTTCGAGTGACAAGTTACGTTAAAAAACAAGTTTATTAATCAAAGTTGTGCACCTGATTTATTTATAGGAGGTGCTAATAAAATTTTAAATAAAACGACAACCAGTAAAAAGGTTAAAGACAATTAATTTGCGCTGTTTTTTCGTGGGAGAGTTATTTGAATTTTTTGCATTGTGTTAAAACACGAGTTTCTGGGGATTTTGTATAAGAAATTTGCACTTAAAGTCAACTAACGTTCCTGAAGAGGGCGATTTACCGGAATTTATCCCGTGAACCAATTTGTGTATTGGTTAATGAAGGATAAGTGAACCTAACCCAAAGATATTGTTAAAGTTTTTTTCATTGTGCAGTGATTTTTTAAGTTCGTTATTAACATTTTTTTGTGTGGGTTAAATTTTATTTAGCATCAATGTAAATTTGTTTTTTAATAGAATTTTGTACCTGCATTAGAGTTAATGATAAACAGTAAAAAATCTAGGTACTTAATTAGATTTGTCGTTGTGATCACCAGACAGGGTTTAACCTTTATTTTGTATTAATTACATGAAGTACATCAATCTTTGAAATCACAACCAATGCATAGAAAACTGGGGTTGGATCGATATTATTGTCAACAATATATTTAAACAATTCAATTTATATTAAGTACTTATTTGACAGTGATCAAACCAGAGCATTAGGTTTTAAGTTCAGATTGAGTGGAGATCAAGAACCAACCTTCCGCAAGGTAAAGAGTCGTCGATAATTTATTCATAACTGAGCTAGCCGTGGTATTAATCATTTCATTATAAGAAATTAATTGTTACAGTAAAATGATTATCAGTGCCATAGAGAATAAAATTTATGTTCTGCAAGAGAGGGTTTCAACCTCTGTAAACTAGCCCTCTTGCCTTTTAATCTTTTTGGAAGGAAAAGAGACATTTTTCTGCTTTAAATAGAAGACAAAATACGTTAATTTCTCCACGGAGTACAAAATAATAAATTATTTTCCAAGAGACTAGAGTGTATATTCTAGTTCCAAGGTAGCAGCTCTTCAAAAAATGTATGGAAAACTACTCGCTTTAATCCCTAATTTACTTTTATAATCCCACAGAGAAACAATTTAAGAAATGAATGACCGTTACAAATTAGTAGACTCTCAAATCCCATCGAACATTATTGGTATACCCATGTATTTTAAATATTAGTCCAAAACAAGTGAAGCTATTCACCCACAATATGCCACCAAAACACAAACTTGGAACTTTGTGGTAAACACGAAATGATCGGTTCCGACATCACAATAAAACTGCCCCTGTACCGTACTCTCCATTACGTAATCGTGAAATGCTCCTTGAAAATGACCTCTGATAACGTATGACCGTGACTAATCTAAAATTGGTCTATTTCGCTTTTGTGTCATTCAAATTCAAAAGAAATGTGCTACATTCTGATTTTACAGATTTGGCAACAAACAATTAAACGGGTTTCATGGAGGAACAAACTGAATTTTTTTTAGAATGTTATAGGTTGGTTGATGTATTTGACGGGGTGGTGCACAGATATTTAGGGTAAAAGTGAATGTTCGAAAAACGCATGACCAGTTTTATTAATAATTCAGTGGCGCTTTTTTGAGATAAAACCCACTAGTATAGGGTGACAAGCTGCCGCGGTTTTGAAATAGAAAACGCCGTTCATTGTTTCTCAAGTTTGTTGTTTGCAAATGGTGGTCGCTTAGATGTTTTATTTTCAAAATTTTTTCAACATAAGAGAATTTACACATATGCCGCTTCATCGCGGACATGAACAAAAGTATGTCTGAAGTAAGGGCGATCACAACGTGTACATTCTTAATAAAAGTGTGCATTTCTAAAGCGGAGAGAGGTCCCGAGTTGTATGGGGTTTTTGGGTTAGATTTTATAAAATTTAGCACGTATTATTTGTGTGTGAGAATTTTATTTTCGCATAACAATTTCGTAAGCGGCTACGGACCATTTTAGGTGCGTTATAGTTTTCGTTTGTGAAAGTTTATCTGGTAGCACCGAGACTTTAAGCAAATTTATTTTGAGTGTGTTACGTTCACTTTGGGCCAAAGTGGCAAAATTACCTTAGATAAGCACAAGGTAAGCTCAGGCAAAGTAGAGGTGGGTCGGGGTGAAAATGGGGTTCTTCTATATACACACAAATAAGCCAAAAAGGGAAGGAAACAGTAAAAGTAATCCGGATAGGCGCCACTTAGTCTTTGAGAAATCTAGAGAGAGAGAGAGGAATACTAAAGGGATAAATAAGGCAGACCAAGAGATCCTTGTTCCCGTCTTACTAAACTCAAAGGAATACACAATTATGGGGAAAATCAAACAATATTTGATGTCATAAATGCGGGTGGTTTAATAACAATGATCTCAAAATATCACAAATCTGACAATGTAATATATCGATTTAGTATATCAAACTTACAAATAATCTCTAATAAAACAAATGAGAAGCCAACACGTACCCTGGGAAAATATGTATCCAAAAGGGCTTCCGCAGAAACAACGGAGCTATAATCATTAAGTGACAAAGTAATATAATCACAACTCGTTAGTATCAACAACCAAAATGTAATCAAACGTTAAAAGGGAAAAACGACGAAAATAACTAAATTTACCTTGAACTCCGGTCGCAACCTTCCGA